AAATAATATTAATACCAGCTTTGAAAGATAAGGTTTATGATGAGTATGTATGTATTATAATGATAACTGCAACTCCGCCTTATATTGGAAATATCTGCAACTTCGTTTTTAAAGAAATAAATTCAAACTTTCAGAAAATTTTAAAGGGTTTTTTACGTTTTGGGGGAATAGGGCATTTTCAGTAACGGATTACACAGGAAAGCAAAATTTTGTTCCCAAAAACTCAACTTGTGGGATGAAGAGTGTATATCTTATTATATTTTTCAATAATAAAATCTCGCCCCTCTTAATCGGAAAGACTTGCTGTTGTAATTTGAAAAATGTGAAATTTTACGTTATTTCGCCTATGCAAATTTCGACGGAATAGGGCATTTTCAGTAACGGAATGCACATAATTGCAAAATTTTGTTCCCAACAACTCAACTTGTGGATGAAGAGTATATCTTATTATATTTTTCAATAATAAAATCTCGCCCCTCTTAATCGGAAAGACTTGCTGTTGTATTTGAAAAATGTGAAATTTTACGTTATTTCGCCTATGCAAATTTCGACGGAATAGGGCATTTTCAGTAACGGAATGCACATAATTGCAAAATTTTGTTCCCAACAACTCAACTTGTGAGATGAAGAGTGTATATCTTATTATATTTTTCAATAATAAAATTTCGCCCCTCTTAATCGGAAAGACTTGCTGTTGTATTTGAAAAATGTGAAATTTTACGTTATTTCGCCTATGCAAATTTCGACGGAATAGGGCATTTTCAGTAACGGAATGCACATAATTGCAAAATTTTGTTCCCAACAACTCAACTTGTGGGATGAAGAGTATATCTATAATTTCAATAAAATCTCGCCCCTCTTAATCGGAAAGACTTGCTGTTGTAATTTGAAAAATGTGAAATTTTACGTTATTTCGCCTATGCAAATTTCGACGAATAGGGCATTTTCAGTAACGGAATGCACATAATTGCAAAATTTTGTTCCCAACAACTCAACTTGTGGGATGAAGAGTGTATATCTTATATTTTTCAATAATAAAATCTCGCCCCTCTTAATCGGAAAGACTTGCTGTTGTAATTTGAAAAATGTGAAATTTTACGTTATTTCGCCTATGCAAATTTCGACGGAATAGGGCATTTTCAGTAACGGAATGCACAATTGCAAAATTTTGTTCCCAACAACTCAACTTGTGGGATGAAGAGTGTATATCTTATATTTTTCAATAATAAAATCTCGCCCCTCTTTATAGGAAAGACTTGCTGTTGTAATTTGAAAAATGTGAAATTTTACGTTATTTCGCCTATGCAAATTTCGACGAAATAGGGCATTTTCAGTACCGGAATGCACATAATTGCAAAATTTTGTTCCCAACAACTCAACTTTGGGATGAAGAGTGTATATCTATATTTTCAATAATAAAATCTCGCCCCTCTTAATCGGAAAGACTTGCTGTTGTAATTTGAAAAATGTGAAATTTTACGTTATTTCGCCTATGCAAATTTCGACGGAATAGGGCATTTTCAGTAACGGAATGCACATGATTACAAAATTTTGTTCCCAACAACTCAACTTGTGGGATGAAGAATATATCTAAATATTTTTCAATAATAAAATCTCGCCCCTCTTAATCGGAAAGACTTGCTGTTGTAATTTGAAAAATGTGAAATTTTACGTTATTTCGCCTATGCAAATTTCGACGGAATAGGGCATTTTCAGTAACGGAATGCACATGATTACAAATTTTGTTCCCAACAACTCAACTTGTGGGATGAAGAGTGTATATCTTAATATATTTTCAATAATAAAATCTCGCCCCTCTTAATCGGAAAGACTTGCTGTTGTAATTTGAAAAATGTGAAATTTTACGTTATTTCGCCTATGCAAATTTCGACGGAATAGGGCATTTTCAGTAACGGAATGCACATAATTGCAAAATTTTGTTCCCAACAACTCAACTTGTGGATGAAGAGTGTATATCTTATATATTTCAATAATAAAATCTCCCCCTCTTAATCGGAAAGACTTGCTGTTGTAATTTGAAAAATGTGAAATTTTACGTTATTTCGCCTATGCAAATTTCGACGGAATAGGGCATTTTCAGTAACGGAATGCACATGATTGCAAAATTTTGTTCCCAACAACTCAACTTGTGGATGAAGATGTATACTTATTATATTTTTCAATAATAAAATCTCGCCCCTCTTAATCGGAAAGACTTGCTGTTGTAATTTGAAAAATGTGAAATTTTACGTTATTTCGCCTATGCAAATTTCGACGGAATAGGGCATTTTCAGTAACGGAATGCACATGATTACAAATTTTGTTCCCAACAACTCAACTTGTGGGATGAAGATATATACAATAATTTTCAATAATAAAATCTCGCCCCTCTTAATCGGAAAGACTTGCTGTTGTAATTTGAAAAATGTGAAATTTTACGTTATTTCGCCTATGCAAATTTCGACGGAATAGGGCATTTTCAGTAACGGAATGCACATGATTACAAAATTTTGTTCCCAACAACTCAACTTGTGGATGAAGAGTATATATACTAATATTTTCAATAATAAAATCTCGCCCCTCTTAATCGGAAAGACTTGCTGTTGTAATTTGAAAAATGTGAAATTTTACGTTATTTCGCCTATGCAAATTTCGACGGAATAGGGCATTTTCAGTAACGGAATGCACATAATTGCAAAATTTTGTTCCCAACAACTCAACTTGTGGATGAAGAGTATATTTATTAATTTTCAATAATAAAATCTCGCCCCTCTTAATCGGAAAGACTTGCTGTTGTAATTTGAAAAATGTGAAATTTTACGTTATTTCGCCTATGCAAATTTCGACGGAATAGGGCATTTTCAGTAACGGAATGCACATGATTCAAAATTTTGTTCCCAACAACTCAACTTGTGGGATGAAGAGTGTATATCTTAATATATTTTTCAATAATTAAATCTCGCCCCTCTTAATCGGAAAGACTTGCTGTTGTAATTTGAAAAATGTGAAATTTTACGTTATTTCGCCTATGCAAATTTCGACGGAATAGGGCATTTTCAGTAACGGAATGCACATGATTACAAAATTTTGTTCCCAACAACTCAACTTGTGGGATGAAGAGTATATATACTTAAATAATTATCAATAATAAAATCTCGCCCCTCTTAATCGGAAAGACTTGCTGTTGTACTTTGAAAAATGTGAAATTTTACGTTATTTCGCCTATGCAAATTTCGACGAAATAGGGCATTTTCAGTAACGGAATGCACATGATTACAAGATTTTGTTCCCAACAACTCAACTTGTGGATGAAGAGTATATATCTAATATTTTTCAATAATAAAATCTCGCCCCTCTTAATCGGAAAGACTTGCTGTTGTAATTTGAAAAATGTGAAATTTTACGTTATTTCGCCTATGCAAATTTCGACGGAATAGGGCATTTTCAGTAACGGAATGCACATAATTGCAAAATTTTGTTCCCAACAACTCAACTTGTGGGATGAAGAGTGTATATTATATATTTTCAATAATAAAATCTCGCCCCTCTTAATCGGAAAGACTTGCTGTTGTAATTTGAAAAATGTGAAATTTTACGTTATTTCGCCTATGCAAATTTCGACGGAATAGGGCATTTTCAGTAACGGAATGCACATAATTGCAAAATTTTGTTCCCAACAACTCAACTTGTGGGATGAAGAGTGTATATATTAATATATTTTCAATAATAAAATCTCGCCCCTCTTAATCGGAAAGACTTGCTGTTGTAATTTGAAAAATGTGAAATTTTACGTTATTTCGCCTATGCAAATTTCGACGGAATAGGGCATTTTCAGTAACGGAATGCACAAAATTTTGTTCCAACAACTCAACTTGTGGGATGAAGAGTGTATACTTATATATTTTCAATAATAAAATCTCGCCCCTCTTAATCGGAAAGACTTGCTGTTGTAATTTGAAAAATGTGAAATTTTACGTTATTTCGCCTATGCAATTTCGACGGAATAGGGCAATTTTCAGTAACGGAATGCACAATGATTACAAATCTTGTTCCCAACAAGACCTCAACTTGTGTGATGAAGAGTATATTATACTAAATATGATTAGTCAATAATAAAATTCTCGGCCCCTCTTTAAATCGGAAAGAACTTGCTGTTTGTAATTGAAATGTGAAGGATTTTACGTTATTTCGCCTATGGCAAATTTCGACGGAATTAGGGCATTTTCAGTAACGGAATGGCAACAATGATTACAAAATTTTGTTCCCAACAACTCAACTTTGGGATGAAGAGTATATATACTAAAATATTTATCAATATAAAATCTCGCCCCTCTAATCGGAAAGACATGCTGTTGTAATTTGAAAAATGTGAAATTTTACGTGTAATTTCGCCTATGTAAATTTCGACGGAATAGGGCATTTTCAAGTAACGGGAATGCACATAATTGCAAAATTTGTTCCCAACAACTCAACTTGTGAGAGATGAAGAGTGTATACCTTATTATATTTTTTCAATAATAAATCTCCGCCCCTCTTAATCGGAAAGACTTGCTGTTTGTAATTTTGAAAAATGTGAAATTTTACGTTATTTCGCCTATGCAAAATTTCGACGAAATAGGCATTTCCAGTACCGAATGCACATAATTGCAAAATTTGTTCTCAACAACTCAACTTGTGGGATGAAGAGTGTATACCTTATTATATTTTTCAATAATAAAATCTCGCCCTTCTTAATCGGAAAGACTTGCTGTTGTAATTTGAAAAATGTGAAATTTTACGTTATTGCCCTATTGCAAATTTCGACGGAATAGGGCATTTTCAGTAACGGAATGCACATGATTACAAGATTTTGTTCTCAACAACTCAACTTGTGGGATGAAGAGTGTATATCTTAATATATTTTTCAATAATAAAATCTCGCCCCTCTTAATCGGAAAGACTTGCTGTTGTAATTTGAAAAATGTGAAATTTTACGTTATTTCGCCTATGCAATTTCGAACGGAATAGGGCATTTTCAGTAACGGAATGCACATGATTACAAGATTTTGTTCTCAACAACTCAACTTGTGGGATGAAGAGTGTATATCTTAATATATTTTTCAATAATAAAATCTCGCCCCTCTTAATCGGAAAGACTTGCTGTTGTACTTTTGAAAAATGTGAAATTTACGTTATTCGCTATGCAAATTTCGACGGATAGGGCATTTTCAGTAACAGAATGCACATAATTGCAAAATTTTGTTCCAACAACTCAACTGTGGGATGAAGAGTTATATCTTATTATATTTTTCAATAATAAAATTTCGCCCCTCTTAATCGGAAAGACTTGCTGTTGTAATTTGAAAAATGTGAAATTTTAAGTTATTTCGCCTATGAAAATTTCGACGAAATAGGGCATTTTCAGTACCGGAATGCACATAATTGCAAAATTTGGTTCCTAACAACTCAACTTGTTGGATGAAGAGTGTATATCTTAATATATTTTTCAATAATAAAAGCTCGCCCCTTTTAATCGGAAAGACTTGCTGTTGTACTATGAAAAATGTGAAATTTCACGTTTATTCCCTTATGTCGATTTTGACGAATTAGTTTTCAGTAACTCTGGCTGGCGAGATGCAGACTGAATATAATAAAATTATTATTAATAATGAAATTCCCAGTTTTTGCTTACAACAACTCTCAAATACCCATGTAATGTTGTTGTTAATTCCATTTGCGTATTTGTTTGGTGTAGCGAATTTGGCTCCGCCCATAATTCTGCCTCCATATTTGACCTTTTCGCCTGGTCGCATACAAAGGTCACCGTGCTACTAGCTTCACAGTGGTAAGATGGCGTACCCAGCAACAATGTTTCCATGAAGCAGGAGGGACTAATCTGTGGCGTCTGTCGAAATTGGTTCCATCGCAAATGTTTCAATAATTCAGATGTGGCAATGGCGAGGGAACAGTACAGACTATTGAAAAAACAGGACATTACGTTTGAGTGGGAGTGCCTTGACTGCTACCAGGCCCAGGACACTCATCATGACTCCAACCCAGTTGTTCCATCCCAGCAGATGGAACCTAGAAGCCGCTCGGAAACCAGCCCAAAACCTAGGGTGGGTTGTCTTCTTTTTTATGGATTATTTGTTAACTTATCTAGGCTAGAATAAACTAACATTTTTAATATATTACACAGGACAACGTTGCATTCGCATTCCCAGATATTCCGTCAGTGGTTAATGAATCGTCAATCGAGGCTACTAATCCGAGAGAATTGTTGAGCCAAAGAGTCGAAGAAACGTGATTCACCATCGAGGACGCCATCAGCCAAAGAGGTAAAGCGAAGTTTTACGAGAGGGGTGGCTACTCTTACACAGTTTATCGCACCAACGCGAATGGAACTGGTACGTCCGTACTAATTACACAGTGTTCCATTTTCTATCACCCTGTTTCTAATACCTAACAATTTTATTTTGCAGTTGCCTGGAGATGCTCCGTAAGGCGGAAAGGGAACGTCTGCCGGCAAAGGTCCTGCAAAAGGACGATGATTTCATCAGAAAGGAAGCGCCCCATTCACATGGCCCCGTGGTCGGCGAGCGACAACATGGAAAACTGAAAAGATTGGTGAGGGAACGGGGGTTAGAGAATCCCTACACAGCTTGTGGGATTGTGGCTAAAATGGCACGCAAAGAGATTGCAGCAGGTAGATTGCAGATTGGCGCAGTAAAGGTGAGTTACTTGACTTTGTGTATTTATAGTCGGTACTGGTACATTGTATGTTACAAATTTTTCTTTTGTTACAGGAGGAATCATTGAAAAGATTGTGCAACATAAAGCGACAAAACAACAGACCGTCAGACCCAAGTACAATCAAGGAGCCCCTGCAACATCAACACATTCCCAATTTTTTTTTTAATTGACGATGCAATAGTCAACGACGCACGTCACATAATCTTTTCAACGAGAAAACAGCTGTCACTTTTGTCGAAAGCAAAAACCTGGTTCATGGATAGGACATTCGATGTGGTTAAGGGGGCATTCTACCAAATTTTCCATTCATACCTTCATCAGGAGCGGTGGATGCTCTGAGCAGATTCCGTTGGTCTTTGTCCTCATGTCCCGGCGCCGGAAAATACATTCATCCGGTCTACATTCACATCTTCAATGTACTCAACAACTTACTCACTCTTTGTTTTCATGTGCACATGTGAAGAGGTTTGCGCTGGACTTCGAAGCCGCAACGTGGCAAGCACTTTCTTCAGTATGGCCGGACGTTGAAAAGCAGGGCTGCTCTTTCCACTTCACCCAGGCCATAATGAAGAATTTGCGCCACAATAATTTGGCTCGCCAATACAACAAGTAAGTGGTTAAACATATTTATATATGTCTTTGTACATCTTTCACTTCTTTTGTTTTAACATGTTTTTATTTTGTCTTAGGGACGCTGGAACAAGAGATCTGATCAAGCATGTCATGGCTCTGTGCTACATACCATAGGCCGCGAGCCGAGGCCATTTATCTTTCAGTTTCGTAGCACACATATGGTAACTACCTGAAAATGATTTTAAAATGTTCCTTAGACATTTAGTAACAAATATTGCCTTGTTCCCACTTCCAAAAGTTCCAAAAAGCACGTTTTACAGAAAAGACGCTTTTACTACAATAAATATGTGTTACCATCTGTCCTATTTTCTCTGCTTTTCCGGTATCATGGGCCAATGAACGCATACTTCTGCATGACGTAACAATCGAATTAGTCAGCTGTAGGTGGATCTCCAGTGGTCGGATGAATATCAGATGTACTACTACTGCTCGCTTTTGCGTTGAGTAGCCTTTCCCTAATTTTTATCAGTTATTATTAGTTCAGTTATTCTAAGGAGGTGTTGAAAAGTATAAGTAAGATATTAAACACTTGTATATCCTTACCATAAATAGCAATTTTAGTTGAGCACTAGCTCATAAGACGTTGTTAAATAGGTACGGTGCGGTAACTCCAAGGAAGGCTAGACCTAGAATAATATGTCACAAACAACGATATTTTCTGGCTTGCATGAAATGTTTTTGATACATTTGATGACTCTTCTTGACTATTCTGCAGACTTTACTACTATATAGGCCACAGCATATTTGAAAATCGAAATTAATGGCTGTTTCTGTAATGCACGGTTGTGTGAAAAAGAAGAAAATAATCAATTTCACTAATGTCGGTTGGTCTAAATCTAAATTTATAGAGTCGACAAGAACCTGGGAAGCAATGATAAGTTATGCTGGAGTGGAAAGGAAAGTAGCATTGGAAACGATTGAGAGGTGAGAAATCAAGTTGTAGACAGACAGTTGATGTTTTAAAATATAGTCTATAGTCCATACTCATTCTGTCATAGGGCATTTCAGGCTGTGATATATCAAAATATAGTCTAGTAATGGTATGCAAACACTGCTGGACTGTAGTACATGCAATTAGCATATATACGCTCATTGAGTACATCAGATAAAATGCATTATGTATTCAAGGTATTAGTTAGTATTTAGTGGTATTTTTACACTCATGCTGTTCCAAATATGATTTTCTTCCTTTTTTTCAGATGCTGTACTACAAAAGAAAACGGCAATGTTCCACCAATCCGACCTAACGCAGGCTCTAATCCCTGCTGCTATCAGTGCTATAAAATGAATTAAACAAGAAGTCTTGAAGCGTAAAGGTATATGAGAATCATAATAGTTGCAAACAGCTTAGATGGGCTATTCATATTGAAATACTTTAGCACATTTCTGCAATTGGAACTGCCCACCAAACTCATGTTGTAGACTTCATTGAGGTTTTCAATTCATTTTTTTCTCAACTATAAAGATCTTTTGAGGTTAACGAAGCATTAATAAATAAAGCTGAGGAATTTTGTTTGTTCACTGTATGAAGAGGATATGAAGAATGTAAATGATACCAGGGCACGTCTATTTAACACTGGCAAACATAAGGATTATACTCTTCACCCAACAATGATTCACTGAAGAAGCATGTGGCCCTCAAATCAGTTCTTGAGTTGGAAAACTGCAAGTGTAAGAAAAATAGTCAAAATAATTTATGCAAGTGTGCCAAAATCAACTTAAATCGCACAGATTTTTGTTTTTGTATCGACTGCAAAAATCACAGTACACTTATAGAGGAAAAGTCGATTTTCGAGATAGTGGATTTCAAAAACAATTCAGAAGAAAGTGAATTAGATATTGCAGTTGATTTAATAAGTATCATTTATTTGTTTTTTTTCGGACATTTGTTAGTGTCGTGGTCCTGTTTCTAGAAATAATATTGCCTTTGTTCAAATACATAGCCACATAAACTAAAAAAAGACTAATTGTAATATTTCTGTTCACTATGTTATGTACATATTGTACATTCATTTAATTTTCTTGACTTTTCCGGTGAATTTCTAAGTGAGAAATAACTGATTTATTTGTGTTTTCGTGCTCACGATGTTAATTTGTGACTTCTTTGCCTAAAAATAAATACGTTTGATAGCTTCTATAAAATGAATGTAGCTTTTTATGCTGTTCTTGTTGTAAACTGCTTGTGGTTATTACATAAAATTTATTCGCTAATGTGAATCAGCGTTGTTGGTGTCGCTGCTTTCGAGGTCACTCGCGACTCCTGTCACACAATTAAAGTATTTTTTGTTGTTGGTTTGTTGTCGGAAACCTCTTATATTCAATTTCGCATCAGGATTGTGGAACAAGCTGTAATGCGTTCAGTATGTTCATTTTCACACAAAACTGAAGAATTATTTAGTTACCAGATGTGCGCTACGAAACTCAATTTCTGGGCGTTTTCAAGGCTTCGTCTCACGGCCCATATCCGTGGTAAGGATCTACAAGTGTTTAATAACTTACTTATACATTTTTCAACAACGTCTTAGCATAATCAAACTAATAACGAGAGAGCTACGCACAAATATATGGACACGTCAGACCAGAGCGAATCAGTCCTTACCGGTACCTTTGACGCTACCGGTACCCTCAAAAAAGTTCTGAATTTCCAGTAGCAAGAATTTTGCAGAATCAAAACGTACAGCCAGTCATGACACTGACTAAAATCCGTGTTCCCATGGATAAAAAATAATACAGCAAAATTTTAGACGAAATATCAAATTTCATAGAATTCACGCAAAATTTTGAAATAAATAAAAGTAATAGCCTTCTAGCGAAAAAATTAATCTTCAACCACTGAAAATTTCAAAGCAATTGGTCCAGTATTCGAAGAGAAAAGCGACTTTTTGAAAACGTGTCAAAGAACAAGAACAAGAGAGCTATGCACAAATATATGGACACGTTAGACCAGAGCGAATCAGTCCTTACCGGTACCTTTGACACTACCGGTACCCTCAAAAAAGTTCTGAATTTCCAGTAGCAAGAATTTTGCAGAATCAAAACGTACAGCCAGTCATGACACTGACTAAAATCCGTGTTCCCATGGATAAAAAATAATACAGCAAAATTTTAGACGAAATATCAAATTTCATAGAATTCACGCAAAATTTTGAAATAAATAAAAGTAATAGCCTTCTAGCGAAAAAATTAATCTTTAACCACTGAAAATTTCAAAGCAATTGGTCCAGTATTCGAAGAGAAAAGCGACTTTTTAAAAACGTGTCAAAGAACAAGAACAACAACAACATAATATTGAAACGATCGTTATGTCCACTTCGTGTCCAACAAGAACAACAACAACATAATATTGAAACGATCGTTATGTCCACTTCGTGTCCAATAACTAAACAGGGCTATGGAAAGGCTGCCCAACTCAACGCAACGTCGAGCAGTAATAACTAATATTCATCCGCTCGCTAACAGCTGATTCGATTCAATTGTTACGTCATGCAGAAGTCATTGTTCATTGCCGAAAATGTAGAGAATATAGGACAGATCGTGGGCTATTCGTGGCACATATTTCTTGTAGTATAAGCGTCTTTTCCGTAAAACGTGCAACTTTTGGAAGTGGGAACAAGGAAATATTTGTTACTAGATTTTTAAGGAACATTTTAAAATCATTTTCAGGTAGTTACCTGATGTGCGCTACGAAACTCACTTTCTAGGCTTTTTTCAGGGCCTCGGCTCGCGGCCTACCAGCTATGTTTATTTTGTCCAGATTCAAACTCCCGAAAGAGAAGATAAAAACTCAAGAACTTCGCCGAATATTTTGAGTAATGGCTATTCAACAGTGTCTGGACTCCAAGGATTGGAGTGTCCAAGGATTGGTTAGTATTTGACGTCGAAATAAGAACAAACAATCATTTGGAAGGTTGGCATCGCCATTTCAACAGTATAACTCGAAAAAATATGCCTTTTTACAGTCTCATCACAACAATGTAAGAGGTAAGTATCGGGATAGAGGCGGACGGTTTTGCAAAGCAATCGCTCTGTAGTTGTCTTCTCCTCGAGCATCGATATCGCAGAGCGATTGCGACTGCCTGCCTGCGTTGTCTGCCTCTCGTTGCTCTGTAGTCGAGTCGTCTTCACCTCGAGCACATTTTGACCCAATTAAGAATACACATCAAGCTAGCAAAAGAATACTTGAATAAAACACTTGAATACAGTGAATAAATTAAACGCAAATTACATGAAGAAGGTGGCATTTTGGAGGGAAAATGGGAGTTGCAATATTTCTGCATTTCTCAAAATTCTGAAGCACATTGTTTAATTTCCATCAGTACAATGAAAAAACACAATAAGCTCAGCAGTCAATATGACAAATTCAAAGACCAACTTCGAACAGAAAATTTCCATGTGTTTGTATATTAATATAATTATACAACGACTTAGTTACTAAAAATCAATAATAATTCAGACAATCCTATGCCACGCAATGTGGAGCGAAATGTCTTGTCGAAAAAATCTGTCCTTTGTTTGTTTACTGATTTATACACTTTTTTGCATTACTGGAATTAATTAAACATTCTCAAAGATCCAGATTAACCCATAATCATGTGACCTCGTTAGTTAGAGTTGGTACTATAAAATCATTTCAGCCTGGCCTTCGTATGCTGGTGACACAAAAAAGATGCCAAACGTCAGGACAAATGTAATTAAGTAAACATTGAGTTTATACTGTAGTATTTTTGTTAATTTTAGGTCCATATATTTAGATTAAGTCATTTTTAGTCTATGTATTATTCTTTCCTTAGCCAAAGCTTGTTCAAAAAAGATTTTGATGGTTGAACATAGAATTTTATGATTTTTTGTAATAAATACAGTAACTTGCAATAATAGTGAAATGCAAATATTAATATGTAATTGCAGTTGAAATTAAAAAAATAATAAAACTCAATCCAACTGTTTAATTGCATCACAATATATGTCACAAACTAAAACTATCTTAAAAATATCTTTCAAGTATACATTATCAAAAACTGTTTACGGCCCTTTTTACAATTTCCAAAATGCGATGCGGCATATTGTATGACTCGTATTGTAACTATTTGCTGTCGCGATGTATTATCTCAATGTGTCAAACTTTTAATTAGTGTGCATATTTTGCTTCCAGGTCCAAAATGTATTGTCTTGTTTATTACCTCAGCTTGGAGTATTGACAAAAAAAAAGTGTCAGTAAATTACGTAAAATTTTTTTAACTTTTTGTTATAATCAGAATTCACAATTAACAGGAAATATAAACAGCCAACAATCAATGAGAACTATATGCGAAATTCCTCAAATTAAATTTGTCTTCTAAAATTGGAGGAAGGCAAAACATATACCGTAGGTAGTTTCCATTCACACAAGTCTTTCAAGAAGACTTGCTCGAGCCAAACTAAATGAGCATCATCAGGTGATCGGTAAGGCTGCAAGTTGAATTCAGCCCTGCAACCTCCTGCATAGAAAATAATATTAATTAGTGGGCTATGAGCTAAAGTTAGACACAAACCTATCTACGAGGCAATATGTACCATCAATGTTACCTACGATAAACTGAATATGTAATATGTCTAATCAACTCATCTACTGAAGCAAGTTCGATGGGTGCAAACTTTGTTTTATGGAATTGTATCACAGCACCGTTAAGAGAAGTATAAACAGTTTTGCTGTTTTGTATGACACCTTTAAATGAAATTTCAATGTTCAAGTGCAACATTAAAATTAGTAATTTTAAACTTTGTCAATATCTGCAAAATGTTCCACACAAATCTTTACACTATCGCGTTTGTAATCTTCTCTGACAAAAAAAAAACGTCTATGATGTCCAGAATTACTCTTTACAGCTAGCTTGTCTGCCATTCCAGCTTTCCAAGATATGATGATTATTTTTTTTTTGTTACAGACGCAAAAAGGCAGGTACTACACGTAAAGAAGGCGCCGAGTAGCAAAAGCGAACGGGAAACGGTCGCGAAAGGCGACGCTAACTATGTGCATTGGAGCGTATCATGAAATACAATCTTTTGCCTCTAGTCTTATAGAGTGACGTCAGAGTTGCCTATCATGTTGTTTAATGTCATTGGGATCAGTAAGTAGGGGGAAGTGGGCAAGGTTGGGACACTTTTTTTCTTTTGCATATTTTGAGCCGTTAATTCTGCGTATTCTCTTAAGTTTGCGGGACTAATGCCTAGAGGGGCACAATGGGTCAGACTGTCAAAATTCCACGAAGTATG